AAATTTCTGCCATTAACTGGACATGTGTGACCTTTCAATGTAATGTAGATGATGTCCATGACGTGTTTCGTGGTTTGTTCAAGAGGTGCTATGATGAATGTTTTCCATATAAAACAATATCTCGCTCGAAAAATCACGGAAATCTTGGGTCACTCTAGATCACATCAAAATGGTTAGAAAAAATATCCTTTAAAATGTGTATTTCTTCACCCAGATAAGTTAGTATACTTAGAAAAAAATCGAAATAAGTTGAATTTTGTGCTGGAAAAACAATGCAAAGCTTTTTCAGTAATGAGTGGAAACAGTCACCAGCTCTTACATGAAAATCTATAAATGAGGCTCTACAACGCGGAACACGAAGTTACAAAATAGGACAGCTTATAATCAATGATAAGAAGCTATACGGAGTATCATTGGTCGAATGTTCCAATTCCTGAATGGTAAACTTTGTTTCTAGTACATATGATAAAAATGATGTTAAAAATATCACACAAAGCCCAGGTTCATGCCTTTTTCTAAACCCCCAAAAATAACTTGTGGTCTATAATATATTCATGCGACTTAAAAACAGTAACAGCCGTGATTTTAAACATTTTCGAATGATGCCAATCAAATATGTCATCGACATAATTCAACCGCACCTCGCACACATCTTCAACCTCAGTTTTGCAAGCAATGAGTTTCCTGCAAAAAATGAAACTTGCCAAGGTTACCGTGATTCACAAGGGAAGATGAAAACCTAATGACCAATTATAGGCCAATATTCATCCTGACAATTTTTTTTTTCTTCTAAGGGACTAGAATGATAAAAACTCGTATGGAGAACTTTTTCCAAACTTATTCAATAATAACTGACTCTCAATTTGATTTTAGAAAAGCAAGATCAACAGAGTCACCGCTCTCACTCCGGAAATCAATTATTTTAAATAACATTGAAAACAATCGTTTGACTAGGCATTTTTGTTGGTTTCAGTAAGGTGTATATCGTCTAAATAATCAAATACTTCTTGAAAAATTAACTGTTATAGAATACGTGGCACAGCACAATCACTCTTATATTCGTATCTATCAAATTACCAGCATCTGTAAACATTGATGGGCATTCAACTTGTCTTAGACCTATAACCTCTGCCGTACCGTTCAATATTACCTGTACAAGATGCCGTTCAATATTACCTGTACACATAAAACTCACTATTTATCATGCACTTTTCCAGTCCCATGCAAATTTTCACCGTGTGCAATAAAACAACTTCAAATTTAAACAAAATAGTCTTACTTAAAAAAAAAAAATGCTGCCTAGTATTGCCGATGTACACTGCCTGTGTCACACACAGCCACTTTTCGAAAATTTAAGGATTACTACTATTACAAGTATGTGCGAGTATCGTCTTTTGTACACATTCCGTTTTGCAACAGCCGAATTCATTGAGTTTCTCTGGTGCACATCGAAGCTTAATGAAAAAGAAGTCCTGGTCAGTACACCCGCCACTCTAAAGTATGCTGTGTTACCCATTTCCACACGAACTGTGCTTTGCAATCACTGCATCACCATCTAGAGCATATATATATATATTTCCTGGCCAAAGCTGAGCTGTACATGTGTTTTATTTAAACTGAATTTCTGTTTATGGTGCGTTGCGTGTGGTTTTCCATTTTGTACTACATTCTGTTTAATTTCTTTTCACCTTGTTTTCTGTCGTGCTTTATTTTATTTTATTTATTATCTACGGCTACGTTAGTAGGCGGAAATTTATAATTATTGCACAACAAACGTTGTAAATGATTTTATTTCATTTTTTTTAATATGTCAACTAAATTGGTGTAGTTGCTTGGCATTAGGGCCCCTAACCAAGTCAAGTTACCTCATGGTAGCTTTTTGTCTGGAGGCCCGCCAGAGCATTTTTCTGGAAATAAACATTTCATTTCACCTCACATGCACGCGCTGTCCGGTGCTGTATTCTCGGACAGTCATTTCAGAAGTAGTGAAGAGTATGCGTCAGTGACATCCCGGCTTGTTTTTGAGTGGGGGGGGGGGGGGGGGGGGGGGCAAACCAGACCTCCCCCCCCCCCCTCCCCCGCGGCCGATTCCCTTGGCGCCGCCGGCCAGAGTGTTTGCCCTGCCCAGTGGCGGCTGTTTCGGGGGGGGGGGGGGGGGGGGGAGCAAAACACGTGCCTTGCGCCCCCCCCCCCCCCTCTTTGGTACGCCCATGGTACGCGTGCAGGGCTTCCCCAGGCTTTAAAATTAGGGGGGTGGTGCATGTAAATTTTTAGTGGGGGCCGGGGGGGGGGGGGGGCGGTTAAGGGGTGGGGCATTGAGAATAGAGGAGTCGTTGCGAATTAAGGGGGTGCCTTCAGAAACAAAGCGGGGGTGTACACCCCCCCCCCGGGGGTGTGTAGGGAAATCACTGTGCGCGCGCTCAAGATGCCCAAGCGCACGCGCGCCAGTAACATAGTCACAGAGAGTTGTTCAAGAGTATATAAGTGTGATAACTGTGGCTAAGCGCAACTACAGAAGAAAGGGCCGTGCAACGATATGGGGTCGGAATGTATCTCGCTTGGCACTAGCTTACTGGCACGATAGGACACAAGAATACTCGAAAGCAACGCCACGGACCAAGATGCGTCTTCGTTAGGTGAGATTCCAAGTATAAAAAGGACCTTCTCTTTTAATCTCTCCTTCGCAAAAAAAAAATAAATAAATAAATAATAATAATAAATAAATAAGAAATAAATAAATAAATGAATTTGGGGGTGTGGGTACGTTTATACAGCCTGAACATAGTTTGCCTCAACGGAAGACTTGTCTCTGAGCTGTAGATGAGCAATTCACCCAGTGCGGTACAAACATAGTACTTGCAAGCTTGGTATGTGCGGCGACGGTTAAGTATCTGTCCATCGTCAGTAGTCAACAAGGTCCTGCGTCATTGCGGTGTCGTGCTTGCTTTATTGTGTACTGTTGGTGCGCGGTGTGACCGCGCTGTTAGTCCCAGGACAAGCTGTTTCAGAACCCTTAGGGGTGTGAAAATATTTAGTGTGTATGCACCGTTCCAATGTTTACAAAACGCAGTGTGGGGAAGTACTTCAAATACATTGTACTTAAAAAAAAAAAAAAAACTGCTTCAAGTAGGTGTAGAAAACGTATACGTAACTTGAAGTGCATTTTCCGGGTATGTACCTCCACTTTACTTAATGTATTTTTACCGGTACTTTCAAAAGAAAAATGTACTACTCCCGACTTCAAAGTGCATTCTACAAATTTAATATCGGTGAAATAAAGCTCTTTCAAGAACCACGCGCTCGCGTCCTTGGCTTTCCCAGTACAATAGAAAACTTCCTGAGGTCGGGAATTCACCAACCTCTTATAAAAAAAAAAAAAAAAAAAAAAAAAAGGGTAATAGAGAACGGGAAAACGCACTATCGACTTTCGAGACGTCATCCAGCCATTTTTCTGAGGCGGACCCAAATAAGTGCTTTTAAGTTGACTGTGTTAAATATAAATAGTTCATCAGTGAGAGTACTACTACTCTGTGGCCCAGCCATTTCTTGGAGTGAAGTAATGGCGGCTATAAGACCGACAGTGCTTTTACGTTGACTGTGTTAAACAGTTCGTCAGCGAGAGTAAAGCTACTCTGTGGCCCCTTGACTTTATTCAAAATTTCCAGCCATTTCTTAAAATAACTTATGCACCCCCTGTACGCCTGGGGCGATGCATATCAGTATAAAAATAAACACCGCATTGATGCCCTGTAATGGGGCCTTCAAGGTATTGTGAAATAAATATATAAGTAGATTGGAAGGACGCCATGCAAGATTGCAATAAAAAAACACTTGCACTTTGAAAGTACATTGTATGTATAGTAGTTTACTTCAAGTACATTGCGTCCGGTGTACTTACAATACTTTACTAAAACATAACATCTAATTTACTTTGTACTTTACTTCACGTACTTTTTAGATGTACATCGCCCTACACTGACAAAATCACAGCCCAGCGTACAATCACCCCTGCCCAGCACGCGTATGCTCGTTGCTTCGAGCGAGCAAAAGCACGCGCCATCCGCATGGACGCTGAAAATAGCACCGGTCAATGCGTGCAAGCATGTGCAGAGCAGAGACATGGCGGCGGCCCCATGCCCTGCTTGCAATCGTCTATATATGATCTGATATCATTCAACGCTGGATGATATGAAGTCGATTTGTGGCACGACTTATTTCCTTCCTTCGCTCGCACGTGAAAAGGGCGTCTCTCCACTCGAGCCCTTTACTTTGGCGGTTCACGCTTCTCCTTGCATTTGTACCGTGACTGTGTGTTATCTGCATCGGGTATGCATGCTTGCACGCTAACGAGAAGAACGTTGAGACACCCAGAATGGTCTATAGACCCATTCAAATGAAGGACTTCTGGCTGCTAGCATTGTGCGTGTTAGTGGTTTTGGCACGCGCTGCGTTTGTATGCCAAAGCGGAGAGCTGCGCCATGCGGGGCGCAATTCTCGCACGCTGGGCAGCGACTTTAAATATATATATATATATATATATACTTTTTTTTTTAGGTCCATAGCGTTGGCTGACGTTCAAGGTGCTCGAGTTCAAGGGGCGCCAGTCTGATTGCTTTGCCGCTGTCTTCGAGTGTGTGCATCTGATGAAAAAGTTGTTCCTCTATTTTTCTTTCGAAGCTTTATTTGCTGACATAAACAGCTAATCTGTCATTCTGGGCACGACCTGTGTCAGCGGAATACAAATTCTGAATTGCGCAATGCGCGGGTATAAGAAACTCGAATTTTAATTATTTCCCCGAGGTCGCATCAACCGGCTTAAACACCACGACATAGACGTTGCAACGCGAAAAAACAACTTTCGCAAAACTTTCTCCAAGACAAGCACGTGGCAACGCGCGCGCTCCCCAACGTGTGCGCGGTTGCGGCGCAGCGACGTTTCCCTGCAAACCCAATGTCGATAACAAAACTAACAACGAGAGAAAATCGTCGCCGCTACTCACCTCACACAGATAACCAGTTTTCGAGTCGTGCTGAGCCGAGGTTTCCGACTGTTTGGGAGGACCGGGGGCATTCCACAGGTGGGTCGGTTTGCGGTGACAACATCCGTCCGGCAGGTCGACCTCTTCGCTCGTCTCTCCGCTGTCGTAGCTGGCTCGACTCGTGCGGCTGAAGACGACCACCCTCCGCCGCAGCTTGACCGATTGCCGGACAGTGTCCAGATCAACCTCACTTTCGTCGGACATGCAGTCGGTGCTGTCACTACAGTGACTGCTCCGCCAGCGGTGCATGTTCGTTCAAGTTCGCGGCCCGCCGCTCTTTTTGCTAGCGAATAATACTGGGAACGCGTCGAGACGAACAGACGATTTTTCCAATAGACTAGCTCTCTTGACTTGAAATCTGTCCAATTGCATTTTAAAATGAGTCAAGAGCGAATTAGTAAGCGCGGAGGTTAACCGTAAAGCTAGTGGCCGGTACCAGTTCGCGGCCAGCTGACTGAACCGACCGAAACTTTCTCGCTCCTGGCCTGTCCAATCAGGAAGCGAAAACAAATACTACAAGACGTCTCAATGATGATGATTGCAAACTTAACAGCAGCGCTCTTTGCGACAAGATTGAACTGCACTTGCGTGTTTTTCTTTTTCTTTTTTGTGCATAATTTTTGTTGTATCACCAGACTCCGGATGCGATTTAATTGTGATATGGTTTATTTATAATATTTTCCTGGTTCCGCGACTTTACCTGCCGTTTAGGGCCTAGAGGGAGCGCTGTTCACAGAAACGGTGGCGGATCTTTGTATGGTTTTCTTCTCGATGTTTCGCTAATAAGAATGTAGCATCTTTTAAATATTTCACGACCACGGTAACTGCGATCTTGGATCCTGCATTTCTGAGTCAAGCCTCGTCTAATAATTTTTTTCCGACTCCCTGCTAACCGCCATGAGGATTGCGCACTTGTTCGTCTGCTGTTCCTGACCGATTACGGGTAAGTGTCTGGGGTTTTGTCCTCTGTGCCAGACGATTTGGCACTGCTGAACATTTCCCGAAAGTTCTGCGGGAAATCAACACCGCTGTGGAATGTGCAAACTTCTCGCCTGACTCGGAATTACGATCACCCACATGTCGTACACCGCACAGCTCTCGGTGCTTGTTTTAGCACACGATAACGATGTTTCTCTTCAAATCAGCACGATAGGGCCTCACTCTCAAGGTCTGATGGAATCGATCTTACACACCGTAGCCTACGGTTGCTCTGTCGCCTTAAAACACTATAGATATTTATATTAGCTTACGATGTATGGAATCCGAAGTGCGTGCGAGACTAGAAATAAAGCAGCGCGGAGTAGGTAGACTGGCTTTGGGGGCACATTGCAAAACGCCAAACCAAGGAGTTCAAGGAGACATGGGATGGGTATCATTTGAGAGCAGGGAAGCGGTGAGCAAGATAGAATTTGAGGATAGGTTGAGGCAAATGGATGGGGAGCAATGGGCACGAAAGGTTTTCAGCTATTTATACATGAGGAGTGTAGACACAAAGTAAAGACAGCGCACTAGGAAATTAAGGGGAAAGTTTTTGGGCTATACACTCCGTGCGACGCGACTGGCGCGCCGCCGCGCGGCCGGTACCGAAGTTAGGCAGTGAGAACCCCAGAGAAAACGAAACCACGTCGCGTACGTTGGTACGTATTGAATTCGGAGTGGTGCGGTTGCGCTGGATTCACAGCATGAAGTGCTGCCTGTGCTGCGTCATTAAGTGCTTCAATAGTTATGCGTCGTATCTCGTGTAGACAAAGTTTCACAGTTTTTCACCTCGCCGATGTTTTGTAAGACGGCGACAACGATGGAGCCGTGCCGTACGACGCGAGAAATTTGGTCTCCCGATCATGCCTGCCACTGTGTCGGCACTGCTGACATATTCTACACTGCCGCTTTGCGCTCTGCGTTTGTTTTCGTACAAGTAACGCGTACATGTGTCAGCGCCGATAGGACGAACTGAAATGCCATCCCACACTCGCGGGTATGCAGTGCCAATTTCGTTAGAGGAATGCCCTCCAAAGAAGTTTCGTCCCCATCGTACGTGTCGATGATATTTCCGGACAAGTATGGCACGCAATCTGTACTTCATGAAGAAAGATTCGAACGGTAAAAAAAGTGACAAATATAAATCTAAAGAAAACAACAATGAAACTCGGCATCACTGGAGACTCGACGTTTGAGTATGAAAGTTTATGTGGTGTGCTTTCTTTCTTGATCAGTCTCCTTTTGGATGTGGAAACGCTGACACCCCGAGCTCTGCAGACAACAATTTCTTTTTTTCTCGGCTTTAGAGCCACCTATTGAAAAGTGGTTCAAACTGGAAGCACCGTCCTCTGTTTCCTTCCTACCTGTAAAGTGTGCACCTCCCAGGATGAGCGGTATTATCTGACAGCCTTTGACGGTCAAAGCAAGTTACCATCTAGTTATGCCGCCCAAACTAAATTTCCACCTGGTTTCGCTATGCCAACTCTTTTTGTTATAATAAGTTTTGTGCCAAGTGACGGTCATGTCAAAGTACCTGTGTGCCGAAAATCAGCATCTCGCACAACCAGATTACTACACAACAGCTGACCGCAAAAGCCCTTGGCGGCCAAACCGTGTGTTGGCCAACAACTTTGTTTTCTCGGCTTTGGAACCACCTTTCGTAAAGTTGTTTCAATTGGAAGTACAATCCACTAGTCCCTTCCTACCTCTAAAGTGTCCACCTCCCTCGACCAGTGATATTCTCCTGACAGCCTTTTCATGGTCAAAACCGGTTCCCATTGAGTTACGCCACCCAAACCAAATTTTCACCTGGTTTCCCTATTCCACCTTTTCCCTATGCCCTATGCCACCTTTTTCCCTATGCCACCTTTTTTTTTGTATAATAAGTGCTGTGCCATGTTACTGTCAAGTCGAAGCACCTGTGTGCCCAAATCTGCACTTTTCACAGCCCGCTATAACACAGCATTTTGGGTCCAATATTTGATATCCCGTACATCTTTATATCTTTATTCGTTAGGAACATAACTTTCACACCTGCTGTCTTAATGAAACTTGGCACACTTCGTGCACAAACTTAGTGAACATCTCGCTCGCCTCCAAATATCATCGTTCCAGCAGTCCTAGGCTTACAGCGACGAGCGAAATAAATTTCCCACTCAGAGCAATTATGGTGGCGGCCGTCTTGTTCTTCGGAAAATTGCTCCAACTCCTTTTTCGGCCGCAACTAGAGAAATTACCCCTAATAACAACTCAAACTCAATATATAAAAAGTGGAGAACAGCTAAATGTCCTTCTGCCCCAGCACTCATGCAATGTCACCATCAACTTATCGGCTCAAAAAGCAAAAGTTTCGTCTGTGCACGCTTCCGCCGCCACAGCTTGCCATGCAAAAAGGCGTCGCAGGCTGCTGAACGTGCCTCACAGTCGAACGCCAGCTCCTCTGCTAGCGGCGCTGCGCGCCTTTTTCAAAGCGCCCCCTATAGTTCCCGCACGGAGTGTATAGCGAAGATACGGAAGAGCAAGTCTCAGTTAAGAAGAAAGTTAAGGCCACAGAAAGAGATCGGTGGCTAGAGGGAATGCAGACAAAGACGGCTCTGGAAAGCTATAGATTAAACAAAAGAGTTATTGCCAAAGAAAGCATTTATGACAATTCTAGGGGAAGCTCATTGCTGTTTGAGGCAAGGACGGGTGTTCTGCGAACCAGAACATACAGAGTGAAGTACCAGGAAATTGATACAGTGTGCACTGCTTGTGGAGAGGAGGACGAGACGGCTGAGCACTTGATACTCTACTGTAAAGGGCTTGACCCTATGCCTACCGAAGACAACATAGATTTAATAAAGTCATTGGGTTTTAGAGACAGCGAAGGGAGAGTGGATTTCAAGACTGTAGAGCTTACCAAGCAAAGCTTAAGTGAATGGTGGCAGAAATCGAGAGAAAACTAGTTATTTTCTTATTCACTGATGGCAAGGGGGTTTCATAGCCTCACTTTCTTTGCACTGCGGAGTGAATATAGATTTCACATATAAATATTCTAAGCTTAAATGGTAAAACAAAATGGCTAGGTGGCGTAAGCTACCGCCCAATCCAAAGGGCTCAGCCGTATTCATCGATCCATCCATCCATGGATATCAAAGTGTGTGCAGTACATTTGGTTAGTGGTCTGTTACCTTACTTTCAGCCTGTCTTTCGCTCTCCCCCCTTTAACCGCCGACCCAACAAACTTTATTCGGGTCTGGCATTTTACTTGTTGTTGTTGTTTTCACCTCGTAAAACAGAAACGACGTCCGACTTGAGTCCCAACCTGTAGAACAAAACACTTTGTCATAGATCGTCCTTCCAAAACCTAAAGCTTAATTATCTCCGGGTGGGTGTTTTTCAATAAATAATTCCCAATTAGTTTCCCGCCCATTTTTCCACTCCCTATATCGTCAGCATTTGTTCAACAGTATATCTAAGATGTAAATGTGCAAAATTAATTACATAGGTCTTGATGTGTAGCATTTAAGTATTATATATATATATATTAACTACTGACTTCACGAAGTTATATAACATTGGCCTGCATTGTCTTTTTTCTTCCAAGTTTCTTACCATGTTTCCAAACATGCTTAAAAAATAAAAAGGAAATTAAGTGGATTTTTAAGTTTGGTTACAGTTTTCTTTGTAGGCAAAAATTAAGTAGAATGGTTATTCTGACAAACCAGTGATTTGATGTCGTGAATTCACAGGAGTTTAGGTGGGCTTCACATCGATACTAACATGTGTCGTGCTATAGCCAACCCGTGGTATACTTCGTTTCGCCTTAAAGGAACACTGACACTCCCCCCCAAAAAATCTATTTATTCTTTTGCCAAGCAATCTGTTATGGTGTAAGAAGACTACCCAATCAATATTTTGCTACAGCATCACATATACTTTTAATAAAGTAAAAAAAACGCTACTGCTTGAAACCTAAACCGAAACTGGACTGGTGAGGAAGAAGAAATATAGAGGAGGAGAAGGTTACCAAAAGTCACGTGGCTGTGCAACCTTTTCTTTTTTTCAGTCAACGTATGCAGCTTTTTAGAGGCCACAAAAAATGGGTATCGTAATTTTGTCTAATTTTAGTATTGAATATGTGCCTTTGATGACCCACGATTTCAATTATCTTTGGTGGTTGTGTCTAAGCCATAGAAGATGCCACGTGACCACGGAGAAGAGAGTGAGTGCGACTCAAACCGGCCAGCTCTCGATCGGAGGTTTTCGGGTTAAAAGAAAATGAATTTCAAGCCACAAATGGCGTTTTGGGTAGTTGGGCTCTCATACCATAAAATCCCGAGAGATAGCCCACCTAACATAAAGAGCAAATCGGTTGACAATATGGAGTATGCTAACTTTCAATGTACAATGAAGAGAAGTTTAAAAGAAGTGCTTTTTTTAGGTTGTGTCCCTTCCAAGATTGTTATGTGGCAAGGGGCAAGGAAGCAAATATGACTGTACTTCCCAGCCAGCAATGTTCGCTTTTATCCCGCTATAGTGAGCAAGCTGCATTTTCACCGATGCCATCATTGATCCCAACACCACTATTACTAAGAGTGGGATATCTTTTGGGGGTTTTACGGTATATCATGTACAAATAAAAACCTTGGCGAGCATAAATGTCCTTTGAGTGTCCCTTTAAAGAAAGGGTCATTGAAAGGAAACATACCAGTCTGATCTTCATTTCCTTTTATTTATTATGCCACATGACATTTACTCCGAAATATTATGGTAAAATATTGCGTCTGCATTTTATAAACCGTGATTAATATAATGTTTTTTGGACTGTGAAATGACCATGCAGCAGCCTTGGGCAGCATGAGCAACAGAACACCACCTAAGTAAAAGGGTTGAACAGATACTCAACTTTATTTCCTTTTCAAATAATAAATTGAGGGTGATAAAAACATTGCGTTATTTATCGGCATTTGTGTATTAGTTATATGCTAATACATCGTGATTGCAATACAGTTTCGGTTTCAAACACATTCGGGTTACTGTCGTTTGGTAACCATCATATCGATGCTGCTCGTCTCGCCGCAACTTGCGTTCATGTGGAACGCAGTTGTTGAATCTGATTGTAGATTAGAATTACTTAGAATTATAATAAAACATAAAGTAAAGCAATACAAAATTATAATTCCAAAAGGACTAAAACCCACAACTTCACAAAATTATTAGTAAGAAGGAATGTGTGTGGTGTAACCTCTCGGCTATCAGCACATCTGCTTCGGGCCGTTTATTTTCGCGGGTGCAGTCTTAGGACATAGTTTTCCCAAGACCGGCTTTATGACTAAGAATTTTCATCTTCATCAACAGTAACTTGACACGCCAGTCCTCAGGTATGCAAAAGCGATTCATTTCACTTATATTTCCAGCCTTACAGTCCTTGTTCTGTGAGCAGACCAGTGAATTTCTGCTTAAAGTGAGAACGTATTTGCCATTTGGTATTTGACGATCGTATCGGAATGCTGCTCAACTGGTCGAAGTTGCGAACAATTTCCTCAACTTCTCCTCTGTAGCACAAAAAACAATTGTGTTGGCGGGGCAGTAAGCAGGAGTGGTTTTGCCGCCCACCAGTCTGGCTAACTGCCCACCTCCACTATGCTCAGCCCACCTCTATATTTTGTCTCTGTTGGACAAGATGATGCTTATTTTGAAAATGCACGATGCCCCAGATTGTCAAGTTTTGCAGATTTGTGTGGCGCTACTCAACTGAACTGCATAATTCCTGTAAACAAAATCCCCCCCCCCCCCCCCCCCCCCCACCACCCCTTCAACCTAACACCCTGTAGATTGTTAGGTGTCCATACCTCAAAATGTCTGGGGAGAACACTTGTGTCGGCATACGTCTCGAAGCCTAAAAGCCGACCATGGTGATGTAATATGCGACGGTAGACCACAATGAGGTTAACTATTTCACAATTATCTGAGCATATCGGATGTGAGATGTCATCCATTGACTTGCATGCGTGATGTCATTATGGAGTTGTTGTGGGAGCGATATCTGCTGACACTCTGGCTTTGTCCAGAGTGTCAGCAGATTTGGTCTACGTCCATCTTGGTCTGGTCTACGTCACCATCTTGCACAGACTACAAATATATTATATTGGTTACCTACAGTGACGTATCTGTAGAACTGACCGGGCAGCTCCCTGGGAAACCAGAATTATCTCTTTTACTCTAGTAAATGGATCTGGATGATCAAATGAATGAATGTGGCCTGGAGAATAACGGACACATGTTCCAAATAAACATAGAGCTCGGAATTTTAGAAAAACGTTTCACGACCTCCTTATTTCTTTGACTAATGTCGCCAAAAAGGTGTATGGTGATGATTACATATTTGATAGTGATTGCCTAAATGCAAAATTGCACAGTACGGGGTAGGCGTTGCCATTGTTATGTTTTTGGCGAATTATAGACATTATATTTGCACCATGTATTGCTTGGCTGGGCCATATATAGTTTTCAGATTAGATGCTCCGCTCACGTGATGCTCAGTTCGCTTAGCGGTTGCTCTTGCAGAAGTGCCACTGAGAGCACTGGCTCTTTCGATTCAGACTTCTGAAACTTTTCAGAATGAAATTCAGAGGATGAGAGCTCATCATCCAACGAAGAATCTCAGTAAAGTAACTCCGGTTAGGGAATCTGAAGCCGCCAGAATGTCACGGAAGCGGACGCGCCAAAATGAAACCGAATGGAAGAAAGGTGACAACTCTTCGCCTTCAAGTATCTTCATTTTATCCTTCTAAAATTAAAAAGCTTGCAAGCACTGTATGTGCTCCCACTAGATAATGAATGAGAAAAAAACCTACATATTCACCCCTTCGTTATACCACTAGATAATCAATGAGAAAAAAACCTGCACATTGACCCATTCTTTGTAACGTTCCTTTGGAAACAAAACCCAACCACTGAAAAACATATTTTAGAAAAAATAACTTAACCGTTAAAGGGTTAAAGGGGTACTCCGCTGATTTTTGAGCTACCTCAACTAACTATATTTTCTGACTCCCCGGCCTTTACCCTTTCTGGTAAGCTATTTAGTATCGCAAAATTCATAATAGTTATTGTGAAATCGGCAAATGAAAATGATGCAAAAACCAACATTCAAATATACCCGCACTTTTCAGGGCCGTGACGTCAGTGGAAGGTTAAGCTTGCCAGTCGGGCGAGCAGTCTGAAAAACAGAATATGCCAATCGTTTGTTCCGTGCTGGAGCGCGGGGACTGGAGCGAGCTTCCAAAGCATTCATTTGACACCATGAAACTGCTTCGAATCAGTTGGGAACAAATTCTACAGTCCAAAGAGTGAACCCCAACACTTCCACTGACGTCACTTTTTCATTGTTGCCAGTAGAGACTTTCCGTCAATAACTTTGTGAAAAAAAAAATATTTTGACCTAATATTTGGGATACTATTTTGGCGATGTTGTTTGGTGAGTTTAGCAAAATTTCAAGCAAATCTGGGACCATGAAGAAATCGGCGGAGTACCCCTTTAAAGGGGCGGTGCAACGATATTCAATTGTAATGTTTTTGACTTTACACGAGCTTACTCACACTAGTGGGACTCAAGGATACTCCCATGCAACGCTACTGACCGAGAAACTCCTTTGTTGCGCTGTAATTTCAAGGACAAAACCGAGTGTTTTCATTCAATCTCTCCTTCGCAAAACCTGATGACGTAGCTGGGTGGTAGCACTACCGCCCAGTGACGATATTTGAATGCGGCTCATAGATTGGACCCGAGCATGGCGTGGACACTCGATTAGGGCTCGTGATAATCGACAGCTCGAGAAGAATTTGGGTAGTGTCCGGTGTCCAATCGCTGCAATGACGACAACAGCCAAACCATAACAATGTCTGGGACTCAGCGCGTATACTGTGCCTTGTCAAACCCAGCGCATGCCTATGATCAACATTGGTGGCATATAATCGGCTCCAGATCACGTGGCCGCTTGTTCTGGCTGCGAGTTGAGGGGGTGAACCCGGCTCGTTTTTCTTCATTTTTTTCTGCGACTTCGATTGCGTGTGGTGAAAAACGAACGGGTATTTCACAGGTCATCAACTTCAGGGATCCGTTCTAAGCGGTATTTGTGCAAAATACAAAAATCGTTGGATCGCCCCTTTAAGTCAGTGCGCAGTCAAGGGTTAGAAAACACACTAACAGAGGCTTACCGACTAACGTTTTAAGGTCACGGCACATTAACTGTCCAGGATTTGTTTAGTGGGTGATAATGTTTGTGCAGAGAGACTGCAAGCTCAATTATGTTGCGCTTTGGGCACAGCCTGACTAGACCGTCGACTCGTAGCATCTGCTGTCCTTTGATTTACGGTGAAATTAAATATAGCACTACTTCTGAATGCCTTTTTAACTGGGACCACTGACTATAGTCGGTGACAGATCAAGAACGAAGTGGAAGCTCCTCCCACCCCTTTCCCCTTTAGTGGAGCGAACGGTGGAGAGGAGGTCGCCTCCTCTCCAGCGTTCTCACTACTAAAGTGGAAAGAGGTGGGATGAGCTTCCACTTCGTTCTTGACCTGTCACCGACTATAGGCGTTTGACAATTCACCGGGAAGCTCTTTACCGTTTGGGGAGAGAACGGGAGTTTCAAGGACGAGGACTTATAGGGCTAAATTTCAGGAAACAGACACACTGTGCTGCATGCCATAGTAAGAGCAAGACACTAGAATACTTAGTTTTAATGTGCATGGGGCTTCACCCTGCCCTCCCCGAAGAGGTAGGAGATTTGGCGAAGGCCCTGGACTTTGCTGGCAACGATGGAAGGACAGAGGACAAGAAAATTAGTCACAAGGAGGCGATTAGAAGATTGGTGGGAATTATTTAGGGAAAATTGAATGATGCACAACTGACTAGCACAGCCGGGGACAGGCAGAACAGAGAAAAATTGGGACTCCCTTTTAAGTGGTTACAGCCCAAAGATTCAACCCTGTCCCTCAGTGGGTTCGGTGTAGGTGTAACGCCAACAAGCTTTGACCAGAGAAAAATTGGCGACCCCTTTGGAAGAGGTGGGGGGTGATGTTTTTAGTTTTTTTGCCCGACCCCCATAGGTCATCCTGGTGATACCCCACACTACCTGGTGATAGTTAAAGGTAGAAAATTGGCTTAGAAGGGCGGGAGGAATCAAATGTTTGTCTTTTTTAGACTTGGGCCAGGTGGCGCAAGCTACCGCCCGTTACGAGGGGTATATATAGCCTGTAACATCCATCCATCTATGGATCCATCCGAAGAAACCTAGCCTGCTGTTGGCCACAGCTTAAAGGGGCCCTGCAATGACTTTTTTACTAATTCTTAATATGCACCCAACCTGAGCGCAATGAACGTAGTAACTTAGTGAAACTTTCCTTTTCTCGAAATTCTCTTTATTTTAAAAGTTATAGGCAAATTAAAATTACAAAAACAAGCAAAAAATAACCTCCCTCGTGACGTCCTTGGTTGCTTGGGAGTGGCCGTGAACTAGAGAAGTAGTGAGCTCATCGAGCGCCCACGGCTGCCGCACTCCAAGTCGACGGCGCGAGAGGGCGCCATTGAAGCGTGTTCTGGATAGGCTGTATGCAGCAGGCGGCCAGAGCGGCTCTAATTGCATTTGCTGCGCGATTAAATACTAATTCGGCATGACACTTCATTGGCCACAAACGACAGCAAACACGCGGTAAAGATCAGTTCAGAACGGGAGCCACTTCGTGCTGCCATACCGCTAAAGGGCTAAATCGCCAGCCAAGCCCGCGCCAAGAGCCTTGGGAACGCTCGGAACCAGTTGAATCCTCGAGCCGGTATACGACCGCAGCGCCACCGCGTACATCCGGGACCTTTCCGTGTCGGCGCCTGATCCCACTATTCCTTTCTAGTATGCGCCGCTTTTTCCACCGCTTGGTGGCGGGTATATAGACGGGTCATTTCTTGTTTCCGTAAATTATGAACTACATTCGTTTCTTTTTTGATCAAAAATACTGAACAAAACTACTTTTATAAATAATTGAAACGGTTCGCGCCACTTACATTTTGTATTTCGACTAAAAGGAAGCTTTTAGCGGCTCTGACCAGCAGTAAGCCCAGGACCAAAGACGTCACATTTTGTGCGCTTTTGGTACCGCAGGTCGCCCTTGTCGGTGGAGGAAGTTTCTGCGTCGTCCTGTTAAAATATGACGCACTAATATTTAGTTACTCTCTCCGTGCCCGCTGGCTTGCCCGAACCCCAAGAGACGTGGAAACCGCAAAAAAGGTGGACGCTTAAATATGATTGCAGGGCCCCTTTAAGGATTTTTTACCGAAAGTAATATATAGGGGAGAGAAAATGGACCGGTAGGCTGGCTAGATACATGTTTTTCCAATGTCACTGCTTCTAGTTTCACTAAACATCCATTTTTTTGTCATTCTAGTTGTGTTAATGTTTTATTTATAATGGTAGTCATAACCCAAGTGACTAAAATTGTGACTTCTTTATGCTTTTTTATCAGTCTGATGAAAATCACACTTGCTATTGAAATTTTTTTTTTTTTTTTTTGCACAAATAACATGGAAGTTTTGCAACCTGCAATTATTGATGACACAATATAGCCTTGCTCTAACCCTAAGGCATTGAAATTCATTCTGGCCAAAAGATGCATATCCTTGCTGTATTTTTGCTACACAGGGTGAGTTTGCATTATTTCAGAAATTTCTTCAAACTTTCGAGTGGAAATGCTAAAAGTTTTACCGTGTTGGGGTTCAACATATTGTTACCCAGGGCGCCCTGGTTTTGAGAACAATTCTTGGCATTTTAGAAACATTAGTTTCACGGACCTTTTTGCTCACTGGATGTTAGTCGAGGCCCTTTTAACTTCGGATAGTTGTCTTGGAATATTTTGGTAAAGCTATTTTTATTTCGGTGCAATCTGAATTGTGTGGTAACAGTCTGTCATTCATTAGTTCAAGCATAACAAGGAAGTTTTTCATGGGAAAGAGAGGTTGTTTGAACTTCTATGACATCTTGACATATTTATTTTACCTGTAAATGTTTACTTCCAGAGACAGCTGTATGCCTGATTGCTAAAACATTGAGGTGGAAGTTTTTGGACAGCATTATTATTAAGTCAGCATTTTATGTTAGTTCCTCACAACGTCTATGAGAGTCTTCTTTAACCTTTGAACCATTTTTAGTTTCTGGAAATTTCTGATCCTCAATTGCTTAATTTTTGGTTTTATAATAATTTTGTTTTGCCTTCAAGATCACATTTCTAACCACCAAAAAATTAAAAGCACAATTTAAAAAAAAAAAAAAAGTCCAGTGCTGCCGTTTGTTGCCAGAGCCACGAACAGAGTCATGAGTGAGCCTGGTTCATCCAAAACGGTTGATTGCCGAAATGGAATTGACTTTTTGGAGTTGTAATTGAGGACAGCGGGGTTTGGGCCACCGGCATTTTACCACGAAGCGGCGGGTATGGGTGGTCCAGGAGCGTCAATATTTTTTAGTGCGCCATTTACAGACTGTCGCCGCAAAGCGGGCGTAAATGGGGGGGGGGGGGGCCCGGGTGGGTTAACACACGACCCAGTGATACACCCACCACCCACCATTGCCCTTTCAAAAAGCCCGACCCGCTTGAACCGGGAAAGCAGACGAGCTATACTCGTCCTGGACGGTTCGGCGATGGCTCCACATTGACGTGCTAGGCTCGTCCAAAACGTTTAAGGGGTTAATGAATTCAATAAAGGAACACTAGGACAGAGTTACCTGCTAGGCTTTGCTCCCAATATTCAATAACAAGCTGCGTGTGCTCCTCTTCATTCTTTTAAGGGAGTGGGGCAGTGTCTGATGTCGAGGATCTTTGAATGTCGGTTTAGAGGAAACTCTTTTTTTCTTCTTTTCATGTGTCGCCATTGGGGCTTTCTGCTGGCAGCGTTCTTTGTGAAGGCATGACGTAGTAAAGAAACAAGCAGAAGTGACTCAAGATGCCGCCGTCTTCGGGAGAGCTATGGGGCTTCACGCTCATGCCCAACACCATAGTCGTGGACTGTCTCATGCCCACGGGAATCATCATACCCCTGGACTGTGCCAGGGATGCTACGCTGGAAAGCATCAAAGGCAAGACGGTTTTTTTCACGACGGCATAATTTGCACGCGCACGAGTTCCAGCTAATCGAGACTACGATTTGGTCTTCAGAGTCTGAACCCCCAGGTTCAGATTCCCGAACCTCAGATTTGAAGTGTGAACGACTAAATCGGCGGACTCATAAATTTGTTAAATTGCGGGTCCTTCAATGCATCATATTTTTCAATGTATCAGTCACATATATCCGTTGTTGCTTTATAAACAATGGTATGACTTGCCATAAAATACCGCATAAGCGCCCACTTTGTTCAAGCGCCCACTATTAACATTTTCCAAAGTTTGGAATTCTGCAAATTATACGTTAACCGTCTGATTTGATCGGACAGGTGCCTATGTCTAGATTAACCCAGTTTTCAGTGAAAATGGGGCGGGCACTGTCCTCATATTTTACAGTATATGCATATCTTTTTATAATGATGAACTTCAACTGAAGCAAAACGTAGGCCATATTGACATTTACGACGAAGGAGGTACGGCAAAGCACCCGCCGATGGCGGGTGCTTCTGGCGATCCGACGATGATGCGAAGCGTGGCGGCACAGGTCCACAGCTGCGGACCTATGCAAAGAAGTGCGACCCATACAAAGATGTGACTTACTATATGTTAACTTTTTTGTGTAAACAGACATTTTTAGGGGGTGCGACTTAGGCAGTGGTGTGGCTTACGGACCGGGAAATACGATGGTTATTTTCTGGGATGTGTGAGCTCGTGTGAAATTAAGTTAGTTACGTTGCAAACTGTAAAGCATTTGTCGTGATTTTTTTTCTTTTGTTTTCAGATAACCTATGGGACATTGCCCAGAAGTACCCGCTGTTCAACAGGCTTGGGGATCCTTCGTCCTACATTTTCGTGTCCATCACACGTGACGCGGAGAAGGAAGAGTTCTACGACGAGTCTCGGAGGCTCTGCGATCTCCACCTCTTCCACCCTTTGCTGAAGATAGTTGAGCCCAAGGGAAACACAGAAGAGAAGAAGCTCAACTCTGAAATCAGTAAGACTCCCTGCTTGCTGGGTCTTCTTTCCGGGCTACAATCATTTATCGGGCTATGTGGTTTTATGGCACATTCAAGAGCAACATGCATTTCTGACGAGGTTACCCAGAAAGTGTTTAAAAAAAAAAAAGCCGTCCACTAACTCTTGGTATAGGCTAAAAATTGCTGTAAACTGATGAAATGTTTTTTTTTGTTTTTTTTTAAATAATTATACAGTTTAATACTGGGTGGTCCACACATACTGTCAAGACCGGTGTTTAACGGTAAAGCAGCCCTTAGGCAAAACACTGCCATTTGTCAGTACTAAGTGGCATGGGCATGTGACCATTTGTAGGACATGTCTACATGCACATAGTATTCTCTTTCAGGCAAAACCTTGTGGTATTTTCTCAGCTGAATTTAAATGTAAAGGCACCACTGTGGAGGCAACTTATGGACAGTTTAGTCTCAGAAGACAAAAGTTCAAGGTAGGACCCACCCAGAAACAACTCGTTTCACGTACCAAAATTCGTGCAAGTTCAGGCCTCCGCCAAAAATGGTGTTTGGTCGCAAACAAAACGAGGGGGGAAAGAAACATGGTGGCATTACCATGGCACAAAACTTTCGTCAAAGAAAACACCAAAAAATAAAATGTTAAAAAAAAAATATATTGAAAAACAAATATTTTTTCTTGACCTTTTTAAAACAATCTGTCACCACAAGAATACAATTTTATGAGAATGGTGGATGCGTGCATATTTTGTTTTCTTTCTTTTTTTAATGCGAAAGCATTCACTTTCCCATGGAGCAAGCCGACGTCACCAGGTTTGAAGCCGCGCCAAACGGTACCTTAAATCCTTTCTCCAAGTGATGCCAGCTCCCAGCTATGAAACCACGCGAAAAGCTTAGACAACAGCACCTAGTTTCTCCGATCCCAAAGGAGCGGAGTAAAGCTGATGGATTTCGGCTTCAGTCCCATTAACTGGTGCGCGTCGTAGTTTCAAGGAACAAGGCTCCCATTAGCCGCAGCGAATCAGTTTCAACGACTGCCACCCCATGGCACTGCGTGTTCATCAGTGCACTGGTAGCACGAAGTGTCCAAGGTCAGAGCAGCGAGGAGAGTGCTCGCTCTGCCGTCGACGCAAATACGCCGCAGACGAAATAAGGGACCGGAAGCATGACGTGCATGCTTTCGCATTCACAACTCATAAGAAGTGCTTAGGTGTACCTCGAGCCTTTTGTTACTAACTGTTGCCTCGGTCCCTGGTCAAGGACTGGCCGTCGGAGGCTGTGTGCACGAGTTCGACAACATGAAGGACACGGAGGTGATCGACTTCCGGCGGAACATCCTCGGGGTGTGCAAGGAGGCGGTGGACAAGAGGGACTCTGGGAGCGAGGAGTGCCGAGCCTCTTACGTCTACCCGCCCGAGATTGAGAGCTCACACGAGCTGCCCTCCAACCTAGAACGCAAGCTGGACAAAGGTGGGTGCCTACCACCCTCTTACCTTTTCATTGGGGCACCTGATTGTGTTAACTCTTTCCTGACCGTTGGAAAAAAATGCCTGCTATGTGGGACTTCTTGGTACATTAGTTTTCTAGGAAAACTATAAAGTTTATAATATGATGACATACATAAGAACAAAGCTATATGAACATACTTCTGAAGAATGCAAACGTCGAAGTGAAGACCCGAAATCTATTGCTGTATCTAATTTATCCAACGCAATTGCTTTCCTAAAATTGTTCTAAACCGGGTAAGGACATGGCTCTCAAAAGCACAAAAGAAAAAAAAAAGAAAGTGCCCCAAAATATTTGCTACATCCCGCAGAATACCGTGCATCTGCCCATACCACATTAAGTGCCCATACCCATATTTGTAAGATCTGAGAAAATATCCACAGTACATTTAGTATATGTAGAATTGACAGTCTTGGGTAGTAACGCGTTACTAGTAACGCGTTACTGTAATTTCGTTACTTTTTTGGTAACTTGTAACTGTAACGAGTTACTTTTTTAAAATGTAACTTGTAAATGTAGTTCTATTACTTTTTTCTGAGGTAATGATGAAAGTAACGACGTTACTTTGGTCGTTACTTTCCAGTTTTTTATGAATAATATATCACTGAACGAGTACAATTTAGCCATTTTTTGCGCTTTCCAAATTGTCTCTTCCGACATTTCGAGTGTCAAGTTATTTTTTGCACAGACTTGTGAATACGTTCTTTCTCGCCAGTCCCGACCCCAATATAGCCACGTGTAGGTTTGGTGAAAAAAAAATGTAGTTATCCTTAGCACGCGCTTGTACTTTGTGACTGAACACTTGCATCTTAGTGTCTTGAAGAACTATCTTTTTCGCAGTTTTTCTTTTTTTCTGCGCAAACGCTTTTTAATCGGGTGAATCAAACGTGAAACAATACACGCGGAGGGCACTGCGAATGTTTCATATTTTGATTAGCGCCGCCACTCCGCACTGCGCATTTTTCGTATTTTGATTTGCGCCATTAATCCGGTGTAGTGTCTACAGTCGAGGCAAAATTTACTGCTGTTTGCGCGGGGTTTGTTTCTGGCTTGCCGGGTACAAACTGAAATATGTCCAGGGACTCTATGAACCCAGCGCAACCGTCAACGAGCCAGCAATGTGCTAGTGCTACCAAGGATATGAATGTTGATAAGAACAAAGAAAAACTACCATGGCAGACGTACAGAGAGTATTTTGCTGACGTGGAGGAGGCTACTAACACCTTGACCGCAGAAAACGGCACTCTATTGCCTCACCGCCTACCCGGCAATCAAAAACCTTTTCCGGCGAAACAACACTGCAATCCCATCTAGCGCGTGAGACGAGCGCCTGTTCAACAAGGGCAGGGACGTGTTCGTTATCAAACAAGAGAAACCTTCAGAAACTAATTTCGGGAAGCAACTGCTGCTAACTTACAATACGAAGTAAAAAGAACACTTTTTTTAATTTTATGCAAATAAACTTGGTGAAAAGCGTTTTCTAGTTTTTCCTAATTTTTTTGTGTTATAGAAAAAGTAACTGAAAAGTAACGTCGTTACTTTTTAAAAGTAACTAACTGTAACGAGTTACTTTTTTGTTGCGGTAACTGTAACGGTAACTTCACTACTTTTTTCTGAAAGTAACTGTAACTGTAACGAATTACTTTTTAAAAGTAACTTACCCAAGACTGAGAATTGATGACCGGACAAGCGCGCCCATCCCCCATTTTTCATGATTATCTCAAAATTTTGAGTGGGTGCTTGCCCGGTATTTTATGGTATGTGGTGTTTTCCATTTTCACAACGAAAAGCTCTGCAAAAACTAGTGTTCTAGTTCAAAAGGATTCTGGGCTACCGAAAATCGAGTCAACCCTTCATGGCTAATATGCCACTGGGCTAAGCGGTTTGTTAATGTGCCGAAGCACAAGTAATCAAAACTGAAATACGACGATCTGGCTTCATCGTCGGACCCACTGCTGCTGTACGAGTTCGAAAAATCGAAGGATAATTTTCGAGAATAGCTGTACTTGTGAGTGCGCACCGGACCCATGGAGGCGGCCATGGCTGGGAACAACAAAAATGTGCTGTCGGTTTTGTGTTTGGCTCGAGAATTGCTGCCACATAGAAAGAGAGAGAAAAACAGGCCTTTGTGCCCATTGATCCTGGTGATCGATGCCCCAGAGCCCGTGATCAGTAAAAAAGGCAAAGGGATTGTGAGATAATCTTGGGTTCATCCTTTGCCAGGTCATAGTGGTACCTGTGTGGAAAAATGCAATGCACACGGCCAACAGACCGACTCACGGGGTCTGGGGAGTCCGGGGGGCGTCTCTTTAGTGGCCCTTCGCCTCCATCCAGGGCTGGTGATGGTGTGCGTGTGGGTGCTGTCGGACAGTGGGGAGAAGCAGAAGCACACCCTGGAAGTGGACAAGGACACCCGACCGGAGAACGTGATCAAGGAGGCGATCCTGAAGAAGCTCAAGTGTAGCCGCATGCCCAAGGAGGAACAGCTGGCCAAGGCCCAGGAGTACCAGAAGCATTACCTCCTCAAGGTGTGCGGGGTCAACCAGTACCTGCTCAAGACCTACCCACTCTGCCGCTACAAGGTGAGCACCCTTCGGCCATTCTCACTCGCTCGGTGCTGCAATTGAGGAATGGGACGGTTTTGCTTTCCTGACAACAACGGTGCTAGGGTTTGGAAGAGGCTGGGCCACGGTCCTCCTAAGAACATTTGCAGCTCCTTTAAAAAAAAAGCTTGGGCTTTGCTCGAGTATGGCCCTGGGATGGGTGAAAGGATCCGTGGTTAAATAGATCTCAGGTAAAATATGGAGAAGTGTTCCGTCATAGACACATACGCCGTACTGGCAGTAGAAAATTTAGCCACTTTGTGTGAGAATTTGTGACATTGCCCTAGACTGGCTGGATAAGTGGATGATGTCAGTTCAAGTATTTTATTAATTTCTTGACAAAAGGAAAACCTTCAGGTTAACTGCTGTAAATTCGTTTCATGGTTTTGTCATAAAAAATTGTGGCTTACAATACAAAAGTGATGGATGATGCTGAATGCACTCACTCCTAAATAGTAAGTGCACATCACGAGATTGTCTCATAATTACACAACCTAAGAAGTTGTATGACAGGAATGTTCACCGATGCTTATAAGAGGAGGTCAACGGCTTCGAGGCTTCTTACAGCCTTGCTATCACACTGTAAGGGAATGCACACCTCGCGACTCTGTCAGCACGAACGAGCCATTGCCGTGTTTTTGTGTTTTTCTCTCAGCGTTGAAGGACTGTCATCAAAACCACTAGTATAGAGGTGGAAAGCACTCAGTTGGGTTACTAACCTGAATGCTAAACTTTGATGCCTGCCACCATCCTTTCGAAGTGAAATGCAAAAAAGTGGTTGTAGTCGCGTTCACGCTAACGGTGTTGCACGCCCACCTCACCCCCCCCCCCCCCCCCCGCTCGTCGCCGTCCGACCCTCTTGCAGTACATTCGGACCTGCATAGCCAAGGGCGACATTCCCCAGCTGATGCTAATGCTGAAGGACGCAGTGTACAAGGCCATCCCTCCATCGCACTACATCACACCCTCCTACATGCGCCGCAACCCGTCCACCTCCTCCACCCAGTCCACCATGCCCCTCTTTCGGGTGGACGAGGTGTTCCGGGTCAAGATCCTCGGCGCTTCTTACGTCAACGTCAAGGACGTCGACAAGGTGAGGCCCCAGCCATTTTTGAACCAGCTACAGTTCCTTGAAAGCGAAAAGAAACATGGGCAAGCTGTTGAACGAACCCTATACTGACAAACCCGAGACCGGGAACAAATAAAAGAATGGATATAACTCGCACACCCCTTCAAAAATGCAGCTACCAATCTTATTTCACGTCATCGGATTTGTACCTTCATCCATCCTCCCCCGAAGGTTGCCAAACCTCCTCACAAAAAGATAACAAGGAACACAAGGAACGGACATCCAACTGCCCTGGGGTGATCATAAATCACAAGCATGACCAACAAAGAAATGGACCCTCACTAAACTGACCTTTCACTGAACCCCATTAGTCATCCCCAGAAAACGTTTTCATTTATCTATCCAATGATAAAGATTACTGACTAACAAAATTTCCAATGCTAGAAATCGGTACCATAAAGTCCCGTAAGGGCAGCCTCCCCCGAGAGATCGCCCATCCCGTTTTTCTGGCAAAATATCTATAACATAAAAATTTCGAAACATCTGCCAGCCCCATTCCTCTTGGCCATCACGCGGATGTCTAACGGGAATTGCATCAATCGCAAGATCTGCATTAGCGGTACATTTGACAAGGGAGTTAGTAGCGGGTTCAGATTTTTTTGTCAGCGATTTGCACGTTCAATCTCGTTCATGTGACACATGAATTCACCCTGCATGTTTATTGTATCGTGAAATGCGAGTCTGCGGCATCCACGATCTGCGGGATTCGTTCCCATGACATGCGAGTTCGTAGCGGGTTCCCGCTTTTCTTGTCTGCGATCTGTGGATGCAATATCGATTCCTGTGACATACGAGTTGTCCCCTCATATTTATTGCACCGTAAAACATAATGAGAAAAGAGTCAAAGTACAGGCTAGCTGGTGGAAGTCAACCATTTCGTCGTTTACCCTGAGACTGGGTTTTTTTTTGAAGAGCAGAAGACCTGCTGTTTTTTCTGTCACTTCTGCTCTTCAAAAAAAACCCCAGTCTCAGGGTAAACGACGAAATGGTAAAACATAAGTCTGCTACATCCATGATTTGCGGTACTGGTTCCCATGACATGCGAGTTCGCGGCGGGTTCCCACATTTCCTTCGCACTGTGTAAAGCGAATCTGCTGCGTCTGCAATCCGCGATATCTTTTACCGTGACACAGGAGTTTGTAGTGAATTTCCGCATGTTTATTTCATTGTGAAACACAAATTTGCTGTGTCTGCGATCGATGGTATGAGTTCCGTTTTGTGTGGCTTGTAGCGAATGGCCCAATGTTCTATCACTTTTTTTTTTTATAAAGTTTTGCTGTTTCATCCCCAAAATTCCATGTCTTTCACCATTTATCTCCTCATTTTGGGTGAGTGTCCTTACGAGATTTTATGGTAGCTATGTTGTAAGACGGTGTGTGATTGTCTATTTTTGATCATTTGTTTCCAGTCTTGGCTTTATCATTGCCGTGTATGATTCTTTGCACTCAGTTGTGCTCGCAGTTTGGTCTAATTTCAAAGTTTCTCAATACATGGCTTACAGTGATGCCACATTAGTGACCATTTTGGGGTGGCTTTGCTGCATAGTGCGTTTCCTCTTTAGCATACGTGTCGCAACACTACATTTTTTTTTTCTCGGCAAGAATAAGTAGGAATGACCACCAGCACGATACGATGACGTCATGTGCAAGCCATGTATAGGGGCAATGAACTCACCTCTGTTACGTCACGGCGCGGTGGTGGCGCGTCGGGCGCACTTCCGGTCTGGGGCTGTGGGCAGAAGTCCCCATGCCAGACGTGTATTCTTGCGTTGTATTGAAAGAAGCCTGACAAAAACTTGCCTTCTCGTCAAAACGCCGCGACTGGGACTGTACCAAAAGAGTCGAGAAAGGTTTGAAGGTCAGTTTTCATGTGCTCGGTTCGTCCGAGAACGTGGACATGTGCCGTGAAAATGGAAAACCAGTTGCCGTCGGACCACAATTGCTTGGGCGGGAAGCAGTTTGGGTGGCATTGATGGATGCTTGTTGTCATCAGATTTATTTGTTTTGTTCCATCATGAAAGCGGGAATACCGCCAAGTTATAATGACCACCTGCGGACTACATTCAGTGCGTCTTCAAGATCGAACGGCCGCCTGATCGTTCAAACTGTCGTCTGCTGTTTTAGACAACACCGGCCCATAGACCAAATGTTGGCCCAGTACTTGCGATAAGAAGTGAGTGCAGGCCTCAAAAGACTTCAGTTTGAAGATTGGTAAGCAGGCTTGATGTAAACAGTGGATACAAGGCGATGTTGATCATTGTTACCAGTGACCATCACCGACTTGTTATGCCTCATTCACCTGGTCCGATTCTGCTTGCGATTTTCAGCATCGACGTCGATCATCTCAGCTATGGTTCACGCTGTTGTAACCCGAGCGACGTCGTGACTGAAAATTGCGGGCGAAATCTCATCATGCGAATGATGGCTTTAGCGTACATTCTGTGGCGTCCACGCGGAATGAATCGCTGCATGTCACATTATTCACGCGAATTTTTGTGGTGTAACGAGCCTCGGTAATTTCGCTGAGGCCGCTCAAGTACTCAGACATTGTCAGGAAGACATAGAATCAACAATTCGAACGCGAAAAAGGGTAGGGGGACTTATGCCGACGCCGACAACATCGCATTTTAATGGTATGTGTATGGGCGATGGCGAACTTCTTGCCCACACTCTATCGCACATGCGCGGCACCGGTGGCGTCCGCTAGGGGCACTCCGGTTTGTTTGTAAACACGAGTTGGTGTATAGGGGTCCGGTCTTTCCTTTAAGTCCAAACTTGCCTGTTTCAGTTGCTCCCTACTAGCGTTCCAGCACATTAAGCATGTCAGAGTAGTGTTTTAGTGTTTCGAGTGTTGGCTCAAATAGTTAAGTATTGTTCCGTTTTTCTTTTTTTTAGTTTTATGGTCAAATTATATAATGTCTAGAATTTTAGTTTTTAGTCAAAGTTTCTATCTTTTCTTTCCCTCCACTGCCCTGTCCCCCCAAGCTTCCTAAGGTAACCATTCTTAAATATTGGCCTTAGGAGGCTCTGGATTCAATTAGTGGTCTGTGTAGTCTAAGTTAATTTCTAAATCTATGCAATGCCCCATTAAAGGGATATTACAACGAAATTTCGGCGCTCATTTTTTGGTCTATATGTGTTCAAAAGAGCAGTATCACATGGAACATACCAATATCTTGTTAAAAAAGTCTCGAAAAGGAATTTTAAAATGAATTAAACGATTAGCGAAGAGCACCTGGTGGATGTCGCTGACGCCTCGTTTGTAATGCTCGTCTAGGAACCTTGACAGCTAGTGACGGAGGTTGTCTCGTCTCCGGCCACGACGAGAGAAGGGGGGAAGGAGGAACTCCCCTCTTTTCGAGAATCCCTTTTGTGTGTCGTAGAAGTTGCTATTGTCCCCCTAGAAGATTATAGAAGATTAACCCGTCACTCAAAATTCGTACAAAAAAGCAGCCGCTACGGTGGCTGGAACGACTAGGCCATCCTCTCGACGTCAGCCTCGCCGTAGCTTTGCTCGTCTCGAGACGACCTACGTCACGATCGCGTTGGATGTCACGTGCTCTAAGTTGGGCCTTCTCCGAGCGCTTGCCAGAGTGGGCCGTTTATAACGAAAAATACAGCCACCAGGATCAAAATACAAACGTGCGATTGTCATTTACGGATATTGTGGATCATATTCAACCTATTTTTGAACACGACGGGAATTTTTCAAATTTCGTTGAAGTATCCCTTTAAGGTTGAATTAACTTCCGAGATTGAAAAGGCACTATTTCGACCCAATGGTTGAGGTCGGAGGTTGGAAAGCGGTTTATTTTGTTTAACGATATGGCAGGTCCAGGGGAGGAGGTCCAAACATGAGAGGTACATAATAAAAAAAAAATAATATTTTTATACACTTCTATAGAAAAATAAAAAGAGCATGATATATTACGTGGCTCAGCCAACGCAAAACAACAACAGAATAACCCTAGTAAGAAAAAAAAAGCCCAAAACCATATTGTACGCAGAAGCGCAGAAATTGCGGACACATCCGAAAATAATTGATAATGGCCGGGTTGAGCAAAAGTAAACTAGTTGACTCAATTATCGGCATCGCACATGCATAGAAAATCGTAGAAGGAAAGTTTACGTGCGTGACACACTAGAAGAGTCCAGATAACAAATCTGAAAGATACTTTTTGGCATGGAAAATACACTGCAGGAACGTTTCGTCATTCCAAAAAGCTGTGGGAGTAATCCATTCCATTCACAATTCTTGAAGAACACAGGATCGATTCCCACACTTGCAACTGCTTACGACGTTTAGGTTAGGTTAGGTTAGGCTTAAAACCTCTTATAATCTCTTGTTGCGAAAGAACAAACACAATGGTGCTGTCTGTTGGGTAGCTGTGGAACACTTGACATTTCCGTATATTTTGTTTTTTTTTTTGCTCATCTTGTCTTTATTGACTCGAAAAACCTCTGACAAGGTTATGGGTTATCATTTCACATAGGTAGCTAGTGCATACATTTGATCTCGCTAATTCCGCAGAACCTTAGCTCTGGTAAAATGCAGTTCCAGAGTCGCCTCATCTCTCGTCGTAGGAGATCACAAAAACTCAGTCGTAGCAAATGCAAGTGCAGAAAGGAGCTTAAAGGGATGCTGAGCCGAAATTTGGAGCTCACAAAACAAGGCTGGAGTGATAGGCTCATACAGCGATATCTCTAACAGATGGCCGTATTTTTGGAACAGAAGTGTGCAATTGAACACGGCCGACAAGGCCGACGAGACGTGTGACGTCACGATTTTCATTCCCTCTCCCCTTCGCTTCGTCCTCTTGAGCAGGTGAACCGAAGCGAGGAGGAAAGTAGCGAGGCCGCTTCCCTTCGTTCTCAACTGCCTCCGGGCACTGCGGGGTAATCGCAAATAAAACAAACAAATTGTGACGTCGCATTCGTCGCTTAATCGCGCCCTTCTTTTCCAAA